GTCAATTTTAAAACACTTGTATGTTTATACACCTACATTTTCTTTATTTTTCTTTATTTATGGAAAACCACATGGCTACACCCCCATAAGGGAAACTGCTAATATCTGAGATATGTGGTGACAAATAAACCGATTATTCCCAAATATCTACTGACCAAGTCTCTTTCCAGGGTTTCAAACTTAACTGCAATTTACTTAAATGTGATTGTGCTTTCACAGCAACTCATTTCTTCAGGTCTAATAATAGAGTTGAGCTCATAGTGGTTTGACTTCTGCTCTGTTTCTGTGGTTTTAAACAGGGTAAAGGAAACATTTGTGCCTTTTCTGCATCTTTAGTTTCATAAACCTCAAAATATCATCACGAGAGCAAAGATTCGCAGAATGTCCGTGTCATTTTCATTGACTTCCTTATTTTAGAAATCCAAAACCATGTTAATTTCTTCTCTAAAAGGAGGGCAGTGAGAAAGGGTTGTTTAGACGTGATGAAAGATGTCACTTCTTAACCTTTCCCACTACTTTCCTTTTAGAGAATAAATGAACATGGTTTTAACCCTCTAATGGCATTAATTTTTTTGGCATTAAAAAACAAGTTTTTTTTTAGCTTATCCCTGCTAATATATTCATCATAAGATGTGTCCAACCAATCACAAACATCAAACAATCAAATAAACAAACTAATACTAATTACATCTAATACCTCATGTATAAATATATAAACCAGATACACATACACATACTTTACTGACTGACCCCTGACCCCCTAACTGACCTCTGACCTCCCGACTGTCTCTCAAGCCTGATTCAGGGATCCTCTCCTCAAGCTCACGGTCAGAGGGAATGACCCGATCATGTTCCTTCCGCCCATAATAACATGTTCTTGTGTCCATTTCCTGTGAGTGTCAGTAGATTGTAGAAACATTGACTATTGGTGCGTTCAAGTCTTGTCAGAAAGATGATATTACGAGTTGAACAGATGAACTCCACCACAAAGTCGTAATTACGAGTGGGAAGCAATGGCAGAAGTAAATGTTTTTATTCATAAATGTATTTCTGACTATTACTGACAGTCAATGTAGTTTGTTCGCATTATGTGTTTTGTTAATGAAGAAGAGAGATAAAGTTGACCAGAAAACACTCGTTCAGACATGAGCTGAAGGGCTTGAGTGACCAAACTACATTTCCCATCATTGACATTGGATTGTTTATTATATCAATCCTTATGTAAATCAATTGCTTTAAACAAACACGCTATTTCAAATGCATCACTTTATTAACAGCGGGGATTGTGATGTTGATGCGGATCGCTGGTCCACAGCTCGTGTGTTTCAGGGTCCTAAAGTTCTCCAGATTCAGGGTCTGTTAACACCCATTAAGGAAACTTTATAAAGGTCAGGACCCATTTTCCAAAGGCCCTGTTCACTTTATTAACTTACTACTAACCCGAACCCTCACTTAAAGAAGATTTGGCCTTCTGTGATTGTGTTTCTCAACCATTTCTTCAGTTCATCAAGTCGAGGCCTGTTTTACTGAGAGCCGAAGCGCTGAGAACAGAAACCACAGAGTTGACCAGCAACATTTTAGTTTTTATGGAACAAAACTTTATGATAAGATTTATGGCTGTATATTTCATTCACTGATATGTTGTAGAGTCACATTAGACACACATTAGATGTCTCGTGGATTTCACTTTAATCACGGTCTGTCTGTCTTCTGTGTGTGACTGTTGTTCAACTAGAAAATTCAGTTCTGATGGAGATTGTTCTCACTGTTATTGTGTTCGTTCACACTGTAACAACTTGAATAAATTAGCAGCTAAATATCTTAGACTGGATCTCTCTTCTTTGTGTATTTCCGTGTGTTTTGTCTCCTCCTCCCTCATCTCTTCTCTCAAACACAGGAAGTGTGTGTGTTTTATCAAACAGCGCTGTTAAATCAGTCTATTAATGTGTCAGTATGGGCTCCAGTGCACTGCCGCTCATCTGTGAGTGTTTGATCATATTCTATAATCTTCTTTTTTTCTGTTCCTAATGCAATGTATTCAGCTGAAGATGTGATAATATAATGAGCGTTGTGTATGAGTTCAGACTCACTGCTTATTGTATTATTTATTGATCAGATTAAATGTGATGTTATGTTGATCGGATGACGAGTTTGATGATGTATTTATCCGTGTGATAATGCATGTGAAAGATGGAGGTAATGCATGTATTTTTGCTTAGTTTTGCTGTGATATCTTTCTTCCTACTTCAAGTAGTTCAGATAAATCCAGTGGTGGAGGAAGTACTGAATCTCTTAAGTAAAAGTACAAATAACCAGATAAATATTTACTTTAGTAAAAGTAGATGTAACACAATGGCAACCATACTTGAGTAAAAAGTAAAAAGTACCTGATTTTAAATGTACTTTAAGTATTAAAAGTAAAAGTGCTTGCATAACAATTTATTCTCTTAATGTCTATTTTCTAATGATTAATAAAACATTTAATTCTAACTCATTCAACCTACGTAATACTCCTATAATGATGTTCAATAATTATGGAAAAAAAAATTGTTGTCACCATTTCTGAAACAAGCTTGCATTAGGCAATATACACAACATGCTTTTCCTTACTATATATTAATAACTATGTTTGGCAATAAACGCGATTAATTTATGGTGAAATTCTGAACCTCTTGGCTTGCCATAATCCTAACCAAACGTATATTACACACGGTGCGTTTCCTATGCACGTAAAAACACATTTTCGCGAATAAATTGCACGATAAACACACTGCGTGAGAGACGCATTTAGTGTAACGGGTTGATATATCTATGGCAACGTCACTGGTGAGACAAACGTGCAACGAACGGACGGTCAGATTACGTTTTGGCAGGGAAAAACTGATCAGAAAATGTAATGAAAATGTAACAGAAGTTGTAGAAATGTAGTGGAGAAGAAAGTATAATAATTGCTGCAAAATGTAACGAAGTAAAAGTAAAAAGTATGCACTATTTATTCTACTTAAGTAAAGTAAAGATAGGCCTACATGAAAAATGTACTTAAGTAAAGTAACAAAGTATTTGTACTTCGTTACATTCCACCACTGGATAAATCAGATGTATTTGTGTTGATATGAGTTGTTGAATGATGATTACACACATAATGCACATTATTTGAGTTTTCTGAGCTCGTAAATGCACAAACTAACACCCAATCAGCTTCTCTATCACTTCTGTTTCTCTCTGACTCTCTTATTGAGAAATAATTGCAAAAATGATTTGGAAACTCAAATTTCATTGTCATTTTATGGACAAACTTGAGCTTTTCTCAGAACTAACGTTTCAGTTATTTTTAACCAGTTCGCCTGAACTTCATATTTAGTTGTTGAATGATGTCAGTTCACACGTGTGTCAGAATAACCACAGGTTTCCAGAATAACTTCATTACATCGACGCATATGAACATGTTCCACCAATGACAATCAGGAAGTATCTCTGTTGTCTTATTAAACATATTTATTTATTCATGTTCTGCAAAACCTTTTTTTTTTTTTTTTTTTGAGAAATTGATTGAAAACTGTACTTTATCTATATGTTTTTAAATTTTACTTTTGAGATATTGGAAATATACAGATCAATTTTTAATGTGGTTTAAGGGCTTTTTCACACTCGTTTGTTTGAGAGACTGCAAGCGCTCAACACATTAAATACTGTGGTCTGAATATGGTTTGTGTTTGGGGCCTTTTAGGAGGAACTGAGATCATTTAGTGCTTGCAGAAGGTTTTCTTTCTGGTGTTGGTCATTTCAGCTTTAGGCTATGTGTCTACATTATTTTACTATAATAAAGTCACAATTAGGGATGTGCACGAATATTCAAAACTGATCTTATCAGTTCATTGTGTGTGATGACGTTAATGTTGGAGAATAATCCATCAGTTCTCACCTTTATGAGCATCAGAACAGAAAAACACTTTCAGTTCATGTAGAATAAACTCTAGACATGTTTCAGTGATTTACATTGTGTTGAATGAATGGAAAAGCTTCATCTGTGTTTCTTCTGCTTTTAGTGCTGATGTCCCTCGTTCACTCTGGACTCAGTCAAGGTACTGTCCGTTACTGCAGTACATATAATTATGTTTTAATTAATGTGAATTGTGTTATAGTATTTATTTGTCTACATCCGGATCCCACATTTGTCTCTTTGCTGATGTTTTATGTTTGCATATATTTCACAGAATCATCTGACCGTAGTTCATTATGCTGCAAAACATTACAGAAATCTGCTATTTATTCAATCAATCAAACAGTCTTGCATTGTACAATAGTTCAGTCGACTGTAAGCATACGCAGACACGAGTGTTTCTCTTGCTACTGGTTTATCTGAAGACTTTTCTCCAAATCCACCATGAAAACTAAACAAACAACACAATACAGAAATCACATCAGCTCGACACACAGCAAAAGCGTGTAACAGATGTAATGGCATTTCACACAAAATACAGACAAATAAAACAAAATACCTTGTTGGCTCGATTCTGTGAGAAACGGAAATATAATTTTAATTTTATGAAAAAATGTAGAACAAATTGCAACAGAAGCAAACTCAGCTGATTTTGTATCCTCAATGTGTCCTGAGTGAGGAAAAAAGCCCTGAAGAATCCCATTAGGGGAAAGTTTGGAAAAAGACTCAAATATCGGATATTCATTCTTTTCTCTCACGTGAATAGGGTAAAAATGTTAACCTTTAGATATCATCATGAAAATGACTGAGTTGATCACTTGCATCAAGACAAACAACAAATATATTACAAGTTTTTTTTATTTTTTATTATTATTATTGTTTGTTAACATGGGCAATCAGTGCGTAATCTGTATGTGCTAATTTGCATAAATACCACAACAGATCTAACACTTCATCATTGAGATCTTCAAAGTCCTCGAAACATTTATAAAATATAATTCTGTTACAATGAACTGAAAGAGATGTTTGAGTCAGTTTGTGTTTCTGTGTTTCTTCTCAGGTTTACCCACATCTACAGTGACTGTGACACCAGCCGGTCCTGTATTCACTGGAGAAACAGTCAAACTGAAGTGTGTGATAAACTCTGATCACAGTGACTGGAGATATGAGTGGTATAAAGACAGTGTAATATTACAGAAGTCTGATCGTTACACTGTAAACAGAGACACTGTCACTATCAGAGGAGCTACTGAGTCTGATCAGGGTCAGTACTGGTGTAAAGGACAGAGAGATGGAAGACCAAACTCATCAACATCAAGATCTGCTGTTTCTCTCTCTGTGAAGGGTGAGTTCAACATCATTGTCCTCCAAGTTTTTTAATAAACATAAAACATTTTTATATGTATTTTTATTTATTTATTGCTGCTTGCACTTTCTGAGAATTTCTGAGTTTTTATACAAATGCAGCTTTGGTCTTCAGAAGTTTCATCAAGTTTTTTATTTTAATTTTTTTTTATTGTTTGGTAACATGGGCAATCAGTGCGTAATCTGTATGTGCTAATTTGCATAAATACCACAACAGATCTAAACATTGGGTGTAGCAGGTGAACATGTCTTGTTGAATCTTGCTGACATATAACAGTAAACTATTTAATGATAAGGTCTAAATGAAACCTAATTAGGCTACCAATGAGCATTAACACATATTTGAGACAATAAAACATTTGCAGTAACTCAAAAATATCATTATTTAATTTAGCAAGAAAATATGATTATAATTTGGAAACACTGCATTTTTACACTGTGCTGTTGTAGTTTGAGTTGCAAATACACATTTCATCATTTCACTAATCTGTGTCGGCATTATCCTTGAGAACCAAGCAAGATATGAAACCATTTGTTTATTATATATCTCAATCACAATATTGACTTCAACAAATCACATTATGACATTTTCCCCAAATCGTGATGTCCTAATTGTGATCCTATTCATCCCGTAGAAGGTAATTAGTTCAGTCAGACTTGATTAAAACAGAAATGAGTTCTGCACAGTGAGTTTTATTTGCATGTTTCTGAGATTTGCTGAAATTGTAATTATTGACGGTGTGTCATTAAGATCTCGAGCACCAATGCTAAGCTTTATTCATTCAGTGGTTTGGTTGGAAGAGAAAAGTGTTTGAGAACAGACAGACAGAAGTTAGTTAGTGAGTTCCCAGTTCAGATCTTTAAACACTCTGACTGTAAACAGCACCATCTGCTGGTCAGAACAGGCAGAGCAATAATACAATAAAGACATGCAGACTGGAGACATACATCACTTTCATTTAGTTTTTACCAATACATGCATGCAATCATTGCAATTTACAAGAAAACATTTTTTGTTAATTTAAGTGTTTTTCTCCTGAGAAAGTTTTGAGTTCATGAAGTGATCTTGATCCTGCAATGCTTTTCAATATTTACTTCTATGTTTCTCAGTGAAACCTGTAGTGACGGTGAAGCCAGATCAGCATGTGTTCAGTGGAGAGACAGTCACTCTCACATGTGACATACAGGGAGGAGAAGACATTCAGAGATACAGCTGGATGAAAGCTGGACACACTGGCTATCCATATACAACAACACCATATTACAGTTTCACAGCTGATGTGTCTGACAGTGGTGAATACAGTTGTAGAGGAGAGAGATCACACTCACACACAGACTTCAGTGATGGAGTTAGACTGACTGTATCAGGTGAGTCTTCATATTCACATCTGTTTAATCATCATTTAATATCCATATTTCAAGACTTATAATCTTCATCCAAGAGACTTTAACATTCTTTGAAAACTGTAATTTTCTTCCCCATATCTACATTTTTTAATTCTGTTTGATGTCACAACTGGAAGCAGAAAAGACAAACACTCTTTTAAATCAAAATAAATTATATAGTTTACCGTTTAAAAAGGAATGATAAAAACAAAAGACTAGTGAAAATATGAGCAATAACTGTATAAATGAGCTCAACACTGCATCACTGTTCACTTCCAGATAAACCGACTCTGACTGTAAACCAGAGTTCAGTGTTCACTGGAGACACAGTTACTCTCAGCTGTGACGTGGGAAGATCAACTGGATGGACGTTTCACTGGTGGAAAAACTCAAACTGGGAATCCGGTGATTATACAAGAACTAAAACTATCAGTTCTGTGAGAGTCTCTGATGGAGGAACATACTGGTGTAGAGCACAGCGAGGATACTCCTATACAGACCTCAGTAAAGCAATACAGATAACAGTGAGAGGTAAGAGCTCTTTTACTTTGTAGATTGTTTGTTTTTCAGTGAAAGAAACATAAAGTGTGTGTTTGCTCATTTCACAGAGAGACCCAAACCTGTAGTGAAGGTGAAGCCTGATGTCCGTGTGTTCAGAGGAGAGAGAGTCACTCTCACATGTGACCTACAGGAGACAGGAGTCTGGACGTACAGCTGGTATAAAGATCAAGATAACAGCAGAAGAACAGACCAGATCTATCACAGCGCAGGACAACACCAGATCTATATAATCACATCTGTGGATTCGTCTCATGCTGGTCTGTACAGATGTAGAGGAACTCAGACTGAAACCCCACAGCACTCAGAGATCAGTGATGGAGTTACACTGACAGTATCAGGTGAGTGTGTTCATCATTTCATCACTTTAACCTGAAGACATTGTATATAGAAAGTTAGCTCAGGTTTATTTTTCTTCATGATCTTTATCCTCCAGACATGTTCAGTTCATCCATGAGCTTCTGCTCTTCAGATTATCTGAGATGAATGAAACCGTCAGTGTAGCAAACAAGCCTTGAGACTTGATCATCTGTCCTCAGTCAGACTGTTTGAGTCAGTTTGTGTTTCTGTGTTTCTTCTCAGGTTTACCCACATCTACAGTGACTGTGACACCAGCCGGTCCTGTATTCACTGGAGAAACAGTCAATCTGAAGTGTGTGATAAACTCTGATCACAGTAACTGGAGATATGAGTGGTATAAAGACAGTGTAAAGTTACAGACGTCAGATTATCGTTACACTGTAAACAGAGACACTGTCACTATCAGAGGAGCTACTGAGTCTGATCAGGGTCAGTACTGGTGTAAAGGACGGAGAGATGGAAGACCAAACTCATCAACATCAAGATCTGCTGTTTCTCTCTCTGTGAAGGGTGAGTTCAACATCATTGTCCTCATAAACTCTTTATTATTCATGATCACACAAACAATCAAGAGAATTTTACTTTAGATTTTTCCTTCACACTGCTGATAAATAGTTGTCACTCTTCTTTTGAAGGGCTTGATTTTATTTTCTCACTGTTCTTTTACAAACTATTTAAATTAGCAAAACATGCAACTAATGCAGATATCCGAAAATCCATTTTAAAACTGAAGTATTTTTAGAAGTGTAATCTTAAAAATACAACACTCGTGAATTTCTCATAAAACATAGAAACACAACAGATAAAGTCTTTCTGACGCATGTGAGCACAGATCTGAGAGACAAATAAAAATAGTTCTGTTAATGGCTGATAATTACATGTCAATTACATCTATTCAGAAACAAAGTTTTGTAATAAACATAAAACATTTGTGTACGTATTTTATTTTATTTTTTAGCTGCTTGTTTTTTCTGAGAATTTCTGAGTTTTTATACAAATGCAGCTTTGGTTTTCAGAAGTTTCATCGTTTTGAATCTGATTATGATTTACAGTTCATGAAACATTAGATTTAAGAAGTATTTTATCTGACACTCACACCAAAGTTTCAACATTAGCTCACCTGAGAATGAAAATTGTCATCATTTAATCTCACACACCCTCTCATTAGAACAAAACTGAACCATTTTATTTATGTAGTTGGAGACAAACACTGAATGATTTGTGTAACACAGGTGAACTCTGACTCTGGAGGATCTGAATCTGTTGTTGTTCTCCTGCAGATCTACAGCCGAAGCCTGAACTCACATCAGATCCTGCAGGAGCTGCACTGACTGGAAACACAGTGACTTTGACCTGTCGCATGAATCTAACCAGAGACTGGGACATTTACTGGTACAAACACACACTGAACCCTGAGACAGAGAAGAAGAAAACACACTCCTACAGCCTGAAGATTGATTCAGTGTCTGATGGAGGCCAGTACTGGTGTAGAGCTGGAAGAGGGAAACCAGTCTATTACACACAATACAGTGATGCACTGTGGGTAAATGTTACAGGTGAGAGAGACTGTAGTGTGTGATGCAACAAATACAGATCAGAGACAATATCTACACAACTTCTGAAACTATAAATGCAATAATCTGTGTTTGTACAGTGAGTCCTAAAGCTGTGGTGACGGTACGACCTGATGAACGAGTGTTTAGAGGAGAAACAGTCACTCTCAGATGTGATATAAAGTGGGCAGGAGACACTGAGTGGACATACAGATGGGAAATAGAGGGAACCAACGACCGATATAAAAACACTGTCAGCCGGACCTCAACACAAGAGTTGATCATCAGCAGTGTCGATCTCTTTCACAGCGGTCAATACAGTTGTAGAGGAGAGAGATCAGACTCACAGAGATCACGCATCAGTGATGCTGTTACACTGACTGTCTCAGGTGAGTGTGTGTGTGTGTGTGTGTGTGAGTGTGTGTGTGTGTGTGTGTGTGTGTGTGTGTGTGTGATCAGCTTCTCCATCAGTTCCTCTACGGCTCTGTAACTCGTGATGTTTTGTTCAGCTGAAGCTCAGGCATCACTGCGAGTGTCTCCACAGCCGTGGCTGACTGAAGGAGAATCAGTGACTCTGATCTGTGAGGTTTCAGGCTCCTCTACAGGCTGGACGTTCAGCTGGTTCAGAGATCATGATCATCTGTCAGACAGCAGCAGAGGAGCTGGAGGATCTTACACTCTCAGTCCTGCTGCTCTACAGCACACAGGAGTTTATACGTGCAGAGCAGAGAGAGGACGACCAGCCTATTACACACACAACAGCAGCTCACACACACTGTGGCTCACTGGTGAGGGTTTCTGCTTGTGCTCATCCGCATCTGTGTTTCACTGCAGTCTCTGTGCTGTCAGTTCTGATGGAGATTTTCCTCTTTTCAGGAGTTTCTGCTTCAGTGTCTCTGGTCATCGATCCCAGCAGAAGTCAACACTTCTCATCTCAGTCTCTCTCTCTGAGCTGTGTGGATCAGAGTAACTCTGCTGGATGGACAGTGAGAAGATACACAGACACACACACACAAACCTGTGCCAAACAAACAGGATCTCAGTGTGTAATCGACTCTCTCAGCACATCTGACTCTGGAGTGTACTGGTGTGAGTCTGAATCTGGAGAGAAACGCCGTCCTCGAAACATCACTGTACACGGTGAGTCCGGTTTAATCATGACATCTACTAGTCTAATAGTATAATCTAAAGTCTAATTACAGTCTTCCATTAATTCTGTACAGCTGATGACAGACTGACTTTTTCCTTAAGTAATCGCGAGTTCGCATGGCCATTCAATCTTAATAGCATAATGGTAAACGAACTTGGCTTGCTGTCCTCAGAGGAGGCTCGAGCTAAACCCTCTATGCCAGTTCTCCTCAGAGGAAAAATAAGAGAAATAGAGGAGGAGGAGGGATGCCGTAAGAAATGAATTATCCCTACTTACATACGCTCATAATGATGATTGATAGGACTGAATATTTAGGCTCCTCCATCTTGGTACTTCATTTATCGTGGTGCTACATGAACATGCCCTTAAATGCCACATACAAACAAAGCAAAATGTGACATTGTCATCAGACAGCGTCTTACCATATAAACTGGCAGATTAAGCTGCATAAAGGTTTTTATGCCAGTGGTTAAAAATCTGATACACAACCAACAAACTCTCACGGAAATTTGTAACTATTTTACATTTTGGCACATTAGTGACTAATGTGTATGAATTTGTACAATCTCATTAGTATAATCTTGTTGTGCCCTACTGATGGTTGGGTTTACTTAACTGTCACTGTCCCACAGGTGGGACGTTTGCCACTATATTTTTAAAACAATAATATCTTAGAAAATACCTTAAATAATATTGACAAACTATATATCATTTGAAAGCTTATAATCTCTAGTTTCCATATTTGGTGACTGATTTTCAAAATATATTACAGAGGAGCCATAATTTATCAATATGCAACAAGAATATTTTCATACTCGTAAGGCGTGTTCAGACCTTTATTTTAAAATAGCAGTAAACATGAAAAATCATGAAAAAATGGTAGATACCTCAGTTTGTTTTCATGCCAAAAGTTCAAAAGATAGAATCCATTCAATTATTTTGGAAAAAAAAGGTCTGAAAAGTTTGAAATATCAAGAAAAAAATAATCAATTCAGCATTTGTGACGTGGCAGCTAGCTATGACTTACATGCGTGTTCTTTGTATGTGTTTCTTAGAGGTTCAATTCATTTCAAAATCTGCCAAACTTCCCATACTACTCCTGAATAGGATTTCTACTTAAGAAATTGTATGAAAATTGTGAAAATAATGGTTCACATCACTCAAAACACGAATGGAAATGCAGGCGCCCTTATATGGGCAGTAATGGAGTCTGATTGTGCCCTAGTGAAAAATTTTGGTACTGCGCTCAAACAAAATCTTACTGAAAGCTCATTTTTTGAGATATCAACCTAAAATTTGAAACACAACTTGTTCAGATTTTTGGCTTTGATCTTTCTGCCGTTTTAGAGTAGCCCAGGTTTTGAAAATATATATTTTATGTAAAATATGAATAATTAATATTTTTACATTGTACATTTCCATAAACTCAAACTTCTATAACTTTTTTTCTGTTTCACTTTCTTAATTTATTTCACTTCTACAAAAATCTGCCAAATGTCTTCTTTAAAACAAGACCAATCATATGTCTATATTCCAAAGCATTCTTGAATTACAACCATTTAAGTTCGAAATGTGGATTTTCATGTCTATTCAAAAAAGGGGGGGTGACCGTTAAGAGGTTAAAGGTGGACCTTGATGCTTATTAGTGGCATCCAATAGACACACAGAGGCTATAGATCTATAGGAGGAATAATCCTGTGCAACTCGTTCGCAGTCGGTCGTCATTTCCATCAAAATTACTGATGAACTTAGCTTACTTTTGATTTGATTTTGCCCCGCGACCCGGTCCCAGATAAGCGGATGATGATGATGAAATAGAGAGTCTAAGTCCCTCCCCTTCCGGTCGACCACCATGGGACCTTATTTCGGAAAAATATTGAATGGTAGTCAATGGCGAGAGACAACAAATATTTTGATCTCGTTTGAATTGTGCCCTGAATTAAACATACGATGTTTGTCAATTTAAAAGAGACATTTTAAAGTAAAGAAAGTCGCAGTTTGATGTAAAACCGTTGAGGTATAAGACTGTGAAAATACGTTACAAAAACTACAAACCCCAAAGGCGCACATTTTCTCTCAATGAATGAAGCTTAACTTTACTGAGGCTGTCTGTCATTGTTTCTACAGTCTTACGTTATAATCGTAACGTTACGACGTCCTACCTGAGTGTTTCGTACCAGACTGCACACACACGAGCAGCGGATCTCGCTCGTTGTTTCGTTTCCAGGGAGATGTAGTTCACAGAGCGATTTTCACATAAAACTAAATGTTACTCTTCTGTTGTATGACAAACGGCGACGTTTTTGACTTTCAGAATTATATTTTAAATCGACAAAGATCATATGTGTAATTGAGGGCACAGTTCAGACGGAATAAAAAGATAAGTTGTCTCTCGCCATTGACTACCATTCATATTTTTTCCGAAATAAGGTCCCATGAGCCGGAAGCGGAGGGGCGGGACTTAGGCTCTCTATAAAGCTTGATAAGGCATTCAAACCGATGCAATACTGTCAACAGAGAGTTTGCTCCCGAGTCCCGCTACTCGCCTCTTCCAACTCTCTCTAACAATCCACCATAGGAAATTATTAAAGAGAAAAGAACAGATCAGCTGTGCCCATTTAACAGTGAATAACCAATAAGAAATAACGAAGAATGAATGGTTCGACAACGATTACTTTTTCAACAACAACAACAAAAAAAGTCCAAACAAAACAATCGTTTGTTCATGAGATCGGGTTAGACTACACAACACTCGTATAAAAAAGCTTGAAAGGTATTAAGTACAATTCAGTATTTTTCTTATGTATTGTTTTGCTATATTCTTCTATTAAACGCACATATCTCGTGTTTGTAGACGGTGAGGTGATTCTGGAGAGTTCTGTTGATCCTGTGATTGAGGGAGAGACTCTGACTCTACACTGTTTACATCGATCTACAAACTCCTCGATCTCCAGCGCTGATTTCTATAAAGACGGATCACTGATCCAGAATCAGACGACAGGAGAGATGAGCATCACTACTGTCTCAAAGTCACATGAGGGTTTCTACTCCTGTAAAACAGAGAGAGGACAGTCTCTCCACAGCTGGATCTCAGTCACAGGTCTCTGAATAATCACTGATGATATTATTGTAATATGATCGTACAGTCTCGCGTCACTCACGGACAGATCTGTGTGTTTGTCATGTTCTTCAGTCTCAACAGCTTCATCTTTTTATCTGGCCGTTGGTGTGTGTGTAGGATCGAGTGTTTGCTTGTTGTTCTTCGTCTCACTGGTTCTGCTGTGCAGACACAAACACAAGAAAGGTTTGGATCAGTTCATCACAGGTTATGAATTATTAAACCACATGAACAGCAACAAATGGACGATAACAGTTTCTGAAGCCTAGACAGTCACTGCATGTTTATTAATAAATGAGCAGTTTATGCATAATCAGAAAATATGAGTGACAAACTCTTACAGTGACCATAATAATCTTTGCCTTTATTATAGATCAGCAGTGTAACATTCAACAGACATCAGACCCGAATCCATCCGGAGAATCTCTACCGTTAAACTCTCGCCTAAAATCTGGTCAGATGCACTAACGCATGATTTACATTTATTTATTAATGTTTTTTCCTCTTTTAGACTGCCTTGCTTTTATACTTGTTCCTTGTTTGCACATTTATACAGATGTGACTCCAGTGAATAGTGGAAATAAAGGTTGTCTTAAAAATTATCCTAAACAAAAATGTACACATGCATCATGAAAAGAAAAGAAAAAAATCGACAAAAAAATCATTAAATCCATGATTTACTTTTTCCTTGTTTTGTTTTTTTTCCAGACATCACATATTCAGAGGTCACTGTTAAGAACAACAAATCTGTGGATAAAGGTTAAAAAACCCTCATCAAAAGAGTCATTAACCAATAACATTTATGCAATTTTAGTTATTAAAACTATTTCTTTCTAATTGACTAATCATATTTTCCCAGATAAACCAATGGCAGAGTCAGATAATGTGATGTACTCCGAAGTGAAAACAAAAGGAAAGAAATGCAAACGCAAAGGTGAGATCCTGTTTTTCCTGAAGAACAATATTATTAGTCCAGCATATTCTGAATAATCTGATTTATTTTCTGTTCTGTATTAGATATTAATACTGCAGGACCCAGTGATTTGACTTACGCACAGATCAATATACAGGACAAAAAGAAAAGCAAGACTAAAGGTAAACGCTCAACAAACTGCATCTAAACACTGTCTGAATGAATCATCACATTATATATATATATATATATATATATATACAATGCTTCTATATTCATAAAAGATAACCATTACCTGAACTGATAAAGTCTCCTTCTTCAGGTGCGGATGCTGGAGTTGGAGACACAACTTATGCTCAAGTTTTAAGGAAGAAAGGTCAGAAAAACAATAAAACTATATGATTTTTGTTGCAACGATTTTACAGCAACTGATGAGAAGTTCACAATTTTCACTTTCACGTAAATCTGTTTTTAGTGGTTCAGTTATTTGTGAGGATCAGGTGCATTGTGATCTTAAAAACTAACAAGGACAACATTAGTGGAACATCCGTTAACCCTTATGCTGCATTAGGGACATTTTTGGTCTTTTGCAGTTTAATTTCTTTGACCATTTTGGCTGTTTTAATGCAAATGGTATGAAATTTGGCAAAATTGTGACTTTTTGGATACATGTAAAAAATGTGATCCCATTTTGCAAAATATGTATAACACACACTGTGTAGATCAAATAGTAACACTCAGCACCATAAAGACCAAAAATGGCCCATTGAAACCCATTAAAACGTTGTTTAAATCTGAGGCTGTCAGTAATACATGAAACATGATTTTTGCACAAACATCCTTTCATTTTGAAGCAAAAGCATTATATTTGCATTATATAGTGTATTCCACCAGATGACGTCACTACATATTTATTCCCTATGGGTGGAAATGCACCTTATTTTAGGCAATAGGCAATGTTTAATAGGTGGCCATTTTTGGTCTCTAATGCGCTAAGTGCGATTTTTTTGCAAAGTGGGACTGTGATAATCCAAATCTAAAGTTTTCTCTTTGCATTTAGTTTATTGAAAATAATTGAATTTTTGTGTTTTTTCCTCTTATACAAATCGATGGTTTCGCAAACAAAACTGGCAATTAAAGGGTTTAAATCCTGAAATTGAATACATTTTTGGTAGTTATGATGAGGACTGATGCTGGTTAAAAGATTTAACTTGGTAAAAGTGGAAAATAATAATAATATATAATATTTTAGGCAATGTTTAATATGTGGCCATTTTTGGTCCTTAATGCACTCAACGGTGTTAAAAATCTAATGCAGCCCAAGGGTTAAACATTAGAATGAAAACTAACATCAGATTAATACGATTGCGTTGCTGTTTCAAAAGAACATCATTGTAACGTGGGAAAGTTTGTAGCCTGTAATCCTATAATTATTGCTCCTAACTTTTCTCCCTAATTCATTAAAGATCACTCACTTTCTGGCTTAACAAATGTCTCACGGTTGGATGTTACACAGTAAACCCCCTGTGTTTAATGAACATCTCTCAGTGAGCATTAGTGGCTTGACATTAACACTCGCCACATATGTGTGTGTATTTCAGCAGTGGTGTGTAACACAGTCACTCCTGTTGCCACTTTGTCAAGCTGAATTTTATATAGGCTGAATATACATTTTTCAATTGTAGTCTTTTAAAAAGGCATCTGAAATAATAAACTAAGTGCAATCTAGTCAAAAATATAGATCAGATACATATGCATTCTTGGTATTGAGACCATGTGATGAGTTGAATCAGGTGTGTTTGATTGGGAGACATAGCAAACGTGCAGTGTCGGGGTCCTTCAGGAGCAGTGTTGGGAAACACTGGGGTCAACGAACACTTTTCTGAAAACTGACAGGGGTGCACGATGTTGTTTTGGAAATGTCTGTTTATGAAAATAGGGTTACACTTTATTTCGATAGTCACTTTAGACATTCTACTAACTATAAGTAACTTTTCAACTACATGTCAACTAAGTGTCATTAGAGTATTAGTAGGCTGTAGTAGACTGTTAGGTTAGGGTTAGGTGTTAAGGTTCAGGTTAGGAGAACAAGTTGACTTGTAGTTATTTACAGTCAGTTGAATGTCTGTTGGGGGACCAACAAAATAAAGTGTTAGCAGATATTAAGCTGACAGTCTACTAATACTCTAATGATAGTTAGTTGACATGTAGTGGCAAAGTTACTAATAGTAAGTTGAATGTCTAAAGTGGACTATCAAAATAAAGTGTTACCGAAAATGGTTGGCCACGTGTAAACGAAGCCTGTAAGCGTGTCTCAACTATTACACAAGAGGTGTCAACAGATGAATGTGTTATCTTTTTCATTAAAGGGATAGTTCACCTAAAAATTAAAATTTAAGTCATTAATTAATCACCCCCATGCTGTACCAACCCCGTAAGACCTTCGTTCGTCTTCTTCGGAGCATAAATGAAGATATTTTTGATTAAATTTGAGAGGAAATCTCTTGAACTCTCGTCTCAGGCCCAGAAGGAAGAAAAGGAATAGTCGAATAAAGTTGTCATTTTTGTTTTATTTCCGCACGAAAAGTATTCTCGTCGCTTGATAAAATTATAGTTGAGCCACGGTAGTCACATGGAATATTTAAACATTTTCTTCAA